TTTCTTGAATTTTTCTTCAAAGTCGATTTGTCGATTTAATTTTTTAACACCCTGTATACTACACGTTCTATTTTAACATTACAAATGTTTATTTATTGTTATTTCCTCCATGTTGAGGTTAAAAAAGCATTTATTCAACAATTATTTAATATTTGATTATCTCATTATTACATCTCATTTAATATTTATTTTTAATTCCATAATAACAATGTAATAAATAATTACATGGCTTAATTAGAAATAAAATACATGCGATAAGCAAATATTAAATAATTAATAAGAGTAAACAATGGAATGATAAATAATAATACATAATTGATAAATAAAACAATATTCTTCTTTCATAATTTCTTATTATATTTTTATCCACGTTAAGCACATTTCGATAGGATTTAGAAATTCGAAAGGATTAAAAAGAGAAGAAATTGTTAAGGCAAAAATGACAGTTGCATGTCCAATAATGCTCTGTGAGCCGATAAAGATTTAAATTTAGATTCTCGGTATAATAATAAAACTAAACAGAAGTGAAAAGAAAATATTGATAAATTCGCAATGTCATTGCTCAAAATGTCAGTGCTCAAAGGGCATTATTTAACATAGAGTAGCACACAAGCGAGATTTACGCTTGACTCTAAATTTCTACTCCGATATCTCCTTATCCTCGATAAATTCGTCCAACGTCAAATAATTCGACATACCTGGAAACATGATGACCACTGCCTTCGTCCTGGCATCCTGCGCCCTCGATCCAGCATTCTAGTCCTAGTTGCTTCATCGTTGCATTTCGAACACACGCTCGTGACACTGGCGTCAGTACAATTCGATCCGAGAAACACGTATTGATTAACGCGGTGGCGGGGCCCGATTTAATATTTCAAGAGTCGAATTATAACACACCGATACGCGTACTCCGCTCGCTCGAGACGTAATGTAAGCAGTCGGCATGGAAAAGTCACGCGTGAGAGTACTAAAACAAACGACACCTTCGAAAAAAGGACAAAGTCGTCGCGCGCGCGGTGATTGTCGCCGGCAGGCGATGAATGGCGCGTAATAGACAATTATATCTAATATCGCAGAACAATAGTCTGCACAACGTTACACCTCGAGACTCCCCGTCGGTTCTTCAAGTTCGACGGAATTTGCAGGGTTAACGCAGAACCAAAATATCGACTCGCGACAAGTTTCGTACAATGAGTCTAACTTGCCGCGCGAAGTACTTCCAACTTCGCAAACCGATACATTTGTTTCGCCGTTTTGTCGTTAACAACGTTGCGCCCGTTCAATCCGCGCGACTTCACGCAACACAAGTTGCAAACTCGAAAATTGAATTACTCACCGGCGAAAAATCACGGTCGCCGGCGTCGCGGACAAAAACAATCGATCAGCGGAATCGTGCCCGGCAAGCCGAACAGTTGTCTGAAACCCCGTAAGATCCGGCGTCTTCCGCCGGACACTTCCGTGAAATCGTCCGTAATAAATCGATTCTGAAAGCCTGAGAAAATTCACGATGCGCCGGACGGAATAACGACGATGTGACTTTTTCGCAAAACGGGGAAAAAGTTTCCGCTCAGTGGGAATAATCGAGGACGGACGGAGAATAGGGGAGGGGNGGGGGGGGGGGGGGGGGGGGTGATACACGTGAAATATTTCAATCGGCAACGATCGTTGGACGTCGAAGGGTTAAGAGCATTTAGAAGACGTAAAGGAATTAGCGGAGATACACGTTCGCGTCAGGTTCTGTTTTTAGTGTCGAGATTCGCCTGGACACGAAAGAGACAGGACGAGTGGTTGCGCGGAGCGCGGGATAACGTAGCGATGGGATCAAGCGTGATTCAAACGGTACCGATACTTTTTTCGTCGAGGCATCGATACGGAAGGTCACTCGCGGCTACGAAGGTCGCGACCTTTTCTTCCGTGGAATTAACCTCTCGCACTCGGCGAACTGCCTCGTAGACAGAGCCGACCGCGAGTTATCTTAACATCGGCAAAGTAAACGTATAATTTCGCGATTATGGATTCGTTTGTTTAAAACGCTCGCGAAATCACGGCCACTCGCGAAACTATTGGTCGTCGAACGGCGACGTAATAATTAATAAGCGGGAAGTTACGCAATTCGATCCACGTCGAGACGCGCGTTAAAATATTTTTAAAGCGACCCTCTCTCCGATATGTATTCATCGGATTTCATTAATTCCGCTATAAATCAATACGCGTAAAATATACGAAGCCTTCGTATATTCTCGATTACATTTTATATGATAAATAGATTTCACGATATTATATCCCGATGAAATTACTACAATCACGTGTCCACAACTCGGCGAATTTAATATCGTCGCAACACGAAAAACTATAGTTTCGAAAGAGCCGCCTATTTTTTCGCAACCAAAATTATTCCTCGGATGTCTCTCTCGGGCTGTGTTTAGTGTCACGCCTGAAATTAATTAATCGTCGAGCGATTAAATGCGATACGACGCGGGCGTGATTCGATTATTTATTAGATCGGACGGCGATTGTTCTAACGTCTGTCAATGGTTTTCGGTGAGTGTGTAAAAGCAAGAGAGAGAGAGAGAGAGCTGTTCGCGAATCGATTGAAAATTACAGCTCGGGAATTGGATCGGGCCCATCGCTAGCATCGGTGGTTGAGAGAGAGAACGAGACGGGAAACACACGTCGGGGAGAAACACAGTGAGCGAATAAGTGGGGACGACGGAATGAGGCGTATGGTGGGACAAGGGGAGTTGAGCATGCTGGAACAGGAGAGACGAGGAGGGAAAGGCGGGATGAGACAAAGACGGGGAGCGAGAAAGGGGTTGAGGTGGAGAGAATGAAAGGGAGGATGACGATAGAGTGAGACGACAGAAGCCGACCGGTAGAAAGGTTATAGTAGAAGGGAAACTACTATTGGAAGAACTCTCTCGGATGAGGGAGGGTGGACGAGAGCGGGAGGAACGGAGCGAAGGGGGTTGTGGAATACAGACGAACACACACACACACAGAGTGAGCTAAAAGATGAAAGTATAACCCGGGCAACAGTGGCTCCCAAGCCAAATAGAACATTATGTCACGTATAAATAAAGTCGTTTCCGAACTTCGGCTCGATAGATATTGCAACGCCAATAAATTATCTTCCGCTATCCGCCGTGTAAAATCGCCATGGGCGTGTAAGAGGTAAATCACACTTCGGTTGGCGCGTTGCGCAATTACCGAAAGAGCGTGTCCGCCTTACGGTGCGGATTTTCAGCTGCGCGGAAAATTTATCGAATTATATATCGTCGGTGGTCATGAGGAAAGAGTCGCCGTCCGGAAACGCGGCGGAAAATTGTTTTCGTTTGCTCGTGTTGTATAAAGCCAAGAGATTTCGACGGATCGGTGCGCGTAATTATTCGTATAATTATTAATTATTATCGTGCCTGTCGCAGACAGGAGGACCGAGAAATAGAACAAAAATTATTCGGATAACTGTTATCATATCGCTCGTATTTAGAAAGAAAGAGAGAGAGAAAGAGAGAGAGAGAGAGAGAGAGAGAGATAAAACGCTCGATTAATGAGCCACACTATATAATTACACTTATAACCATTATTTCCGTTCGCGCGTATACTAGAGACAAGTGATTATATAAATAGACGCATAGCTAATTAAATGAATTTACGCGCGTACAACGTGCAATCACATCATTTGTGTACACGCGATACTGTTGGAGTTGCGTAAGCGTTTGAACTCTGCTCGAACGGGCGATAATAATTTATGCGTTTAATGCGGAAAGCAGAGGGAGAGGGAAAGAGAGAGATGTACGAGAGCAAGTAGTAAGTCAAACTTGGCGAAAATGACGTCACTCCACCGACGACGAACAATTAAATTATCGTGGAGGCGGAGTAGATAACGATGCACTCGAGGTGCGGCATAAACCACCGGTTTATGTCGCGTGGATTATACATGCATATACAACGTTCGCGTATAACAGTCGGGGGTAGGGAAAGACTGTAACACACTGTGCCGCGGACGGGTTTATATCCGCGCGGAAAGCTCGCGGAAGTGCCCGGCGTACTCACGTAGAGTCGCTACCTCTCGAATTGAAAGTCGGTAAACGCGTCGAGTACGCGCGTAGTTGCTCGCGTAGGTAAACGGGAGTCCTGCCGTGAAAATCTTCCGTGATTTTCGTCCGAAGTCGCCAAGTTACCGCGCAAGTTCTTCCCTCGTGTGCTAAATGCGCGATCTGCCGACGCGCCTCTATCCAGCTTGAGCTTGTCGCGCTCGCGCGATAAGGCGGAAATCGAGTTTTCCTCGCGAGGTAAAGCTCCTGTAGATTGTTCGATCGAATATTAGGTCTGTTTTCTGTTCCCGAGTTAGAGTTGCACCACAACTTTGTTCTCTTTCCCTTCAACGTTAAGTTATATACTCGTCGCACTCTAACGGTAAAAAGTGCAATCTAGTGAGAGAATAGAAAATAAACCAATTGTTTAAATGCGATATGCAACAAATGTTTTTCTGGAATTTCTGTACGCAATAGCGGCATTCGTTTGTTAAAATCTGCGTTGACATTATAACTAGTCTGTGTTTGTAATTGTGGTCACGCATTAATAAAAAAGTATATATAAATATATATATTAATATATATGTGTAATTATAATTATAAAAATATATATAATTATAATAATATATAATTATATACAAGATGAAGCAATAACCATTACTATTTCGAATATCTTCGACAAATAAAAATCCTTTATTAATGATTAGATGAAAATGAAGAAAAAAGTTTACAGAAAATGTTCGAAGTGATTACGACCATTAGAATCGATATGAAATTTCTGTCAGAGACAGATAAGTTTTCGCCTATCCTCATATTTTAAAGATATTCAAAGTGGTAATAGTTTTGCCTCTCTTTATATAATATATAATTTACCTATATTAAATGATTTTTTAACGGGTCTAAGATTAATTTTCCTACGTTCATCCTGCGTCATGCTACATCGAGAAACTTTGTTTTTCGTTACAGGACGAGGTGCTGACGATTTCGGAGAAGGTGGTCGTCCGCGTGCACGATCTCGTCACGTGGTTGTCGCCCACGTTAGAATGGTCATGGGGTCGAGAGGTGTTCTACCCGACGACTCCGACATCGTCCCCGGAGACGAGCCCGTTGAGATACGAGATGCCGCAGCCACAAGTGCTCACTGACCCGGGGATTGACTTCTCGGACGTCGACAAACAGCAGAAGGAATATGAGAGCAACCTGAATTCCACGAGGAGAGCGGACTGCGGCTTCCAGACCAAGGTTGTGGTGCTCTCATATCCCAGGTACTGCCGTTACCGGGCGCTCCTACGTAGGCTCGAGGGCGCCGAGCCCTCTTGGCTGTGCTCGTCTATCGCGGCTGCCCTAGGTGGCTTCACTGCGACTCCCGGCACCAGGGTGCTCTTCTGCAGGGACACCTTCGATTACCCCGACCTCGAGACCCACGAGCTGTTGTGCAATCATTTAGGTACGTTGCCGCCGCTAATTTAACCGCGAGATTCATTTTATATCGGAAGTCATGCGAGAGGACGTCTCGCTTCGATTTGCACGGATCGTCTCGTTCGAGATCGATCGGGTTGTTTCCCATAATTCGCGGATTCCTCCACTAATTCTCTCTGTATCGACGAAACAACGTGAAACGGATTTTCGAATAATGCGGAATAATTCCTCGATCGGTCGCGTGCCTTTCGAGCGTTGAAATGTGGTAATATCCAGTACAGGGACAGTGTGTGCGTGTATGTGCGACACGCTTCGAATACAAAGACGAACTTGACGAAGGAATACTTGGGCGAGTTTACTCTTTGTGTTTGGAACACCTCGGCGTTTGACTATGTACCGTGTGCGCCTGTTGACTTTTGAAACAATCGTTACGACATTAGATTTCGTTTACACGACATATACGCGCCTTACGCAGCGTGCCTGTGTATATATCACTATTATATCATATATTAGATAAAGACATATGATATATTAGATACCGGACATACGCCAGTGTTCTTTACAAATCTTCATTAATTTTCCGAAACAACGAGATGCAGTAATTGCGAATGCACGATACGGATATGCTTTTCCGTCATTAAAAATTCTTTATAATAATGGTAATAATTATCCGCATTACGTAAAAAGATATTCTAATCAACTTATAGACGTCGATACACGCGATATTCGCGTTCGTCATGATTCTTTTCAAAAACCGCGCAACCAATCGACAAAAATTCACTCCATATTTTTTTTACTTGATTTTTTTTTCAACGGCAATCATTTCACCGCCGGTTGTGCCGTGATTGACTGGACATGCTGTATAATAACTTTTATTCGGAAAGATTTTTCGGATGAAATATTACTTTACGCGAAGGGTCAATAACTAGCTCGATGTGGAACAAAAAAGACGCAAAACACGCCGCGAGCTATCGATCGCCGTTGGTACCGAGAAATGATGAGATTACAATTTCAAAACGAAATTATGAAGCGTGGAACATTTCACAGCGATTCGATTACCAGCCTCCCCGACCCATTGTAATATGACATAAGTATCGTGATATTCCCGTGTACTTTTCCGTATAATGAATAATCAACAATTGTAATTGATATATTTCTGCCGTGTAACAAGCGACATTCGCATCAAACAGCATCGTTCCCCCCCCCCCCTCTCGACGAGATGCATTATCAAAATATCTTCCCTCATGGTAATAAATTCATTTTACGGGTGTTTATAAAACATCAAAAAGAACAAAGGGACGCGGAATGGTGGGGGATCGAGCGATATTATCTTCGATTTCCTTCCACGTCTCTCGAACAGCGCGCATAACGCAGCATAAAGAGACACGCGTTCAATACCGCGAGACGTGAAACTCCCTTTGCAACGGATGAGCCGCCGAAATCGGCGGCGAAGAACAAAAAGAGCGGCGGGGCTCCGCGACGCGCAATTTCGTCGCGCGTTTGACGTGGAAACAATTCCGAAGGGTGTAACGAGATAAGGGCAGGGCAGCGCGGCCGAAAGGTTACGCTAGATCGTATTGCGCGTCGGCGGATCTCTGTCCGTCATAGCTCGCATTTGTCGCTTCCGACGCATCGCTCGTTCGTTCGCACCGTAATTCGACGAGCGAGGGGAACGCGCGCACACACGCACGTCGAGTGTCGGACGCACGCACACGTACGTATGCACGCACGTTTCCACGTTGACGCGACGAGGCGCGCTCGTGCGAGTTGCACTCGAATCGGCCGATCGAAAAATCGTAAACAACGCAGACCGCGGGCAGATCCCGCGCGATCCCATTCATCGTGATCCCCGTTCACCGCGATCGAAGTGTCCGCTCGAAGTCGCGATCCAGCTGCCTTCGTCATCGCGCGACTCGCTCGTCGCTGCCGGCCTTTTTTCTCCGCTTTTGTTTCGTTCCGCGATTCCGCGGCGCGATTTAGCGCAGCATTGCGAGTGCCGAGTCGAGCGCGGATGTGGACACTGTGCGTGTGTGTGTGTGTATATAGTCGATACACCGTGAAGACGTGTAGCACGTGTCGCGCCAACTAATTGATTCCTGTTGACTGTAGCAGGCGATACGCCGCGGAAAATTTCATTTCGGAAAGACTGCTGATTAGCAGTCGCTGACGCAAGAGGCCTACCGCGAATCCGCCGGTGGTTGACACGCGCCGGCGCATCCGATAGTGCAACTCGCGGTCCGATACTACGACATCGTTTGTTTTGTTTCTCGTGCCCGTCACATTTTTGCCGGGGCTCTCGCACACGTTTGCCGCGCGCAAGAAGCTATTTTGTAGCCGCCTGCTCTCTGAGCGTCTAACACAACGTCGCCGCGCGGCCGCCGATAAAGCGCTTTCGCCGAATGTTCGAGCTCGAATCTCCACGACGGACGACACGATGGCTATCTTGATGAAAATTCGGAACAATAAAGTGGTGTACCTGAACATACGCGGTAAGACGAGTCTCCCTTCGGGGAGGCGACGCGCGCGCGGCGTAATATCGGCTCGCGTTTTTGAGTCTGTTCCGCCCGTGAGAGCGTATGCACACGTTGTGTGTCGACAGTCGGATATATATGGTGTCGAATTATTTGATCGATCAAACTACATTGTTCCCCGTAAAACCGGTCGAGCATTATGTATAAAAACGTTCGAAAAATACAGTTGAAAAGCTACCAACATTCGCCGCACTACGTAACGTTCTTATCTTTTATCTCTATGACGAATTTGTTTGAGCAATATGTTGGGAATAAGAAATGTAGATCGAAGTGATTAGGATTTCGCAAGTATCGTTTCAGGATAATTAATGATATTTGCGAAACATGTAGGTCGGAGTGAAGGTATTGCGCCTCGCGCGAGATTCACGACGCGCAAAATCTATCACGAAGAGTGGAACTTCCGTTGAATGATTAAATTAATAAAGTCGGAAATGATTGATCTCGGATCGCTTTACTACGAATTTCCGAGTGACTTTCACGTCGGGATCTGTTTATCAGCGACGTTGTATATCAAAATAAATGCCTTCTCGGCCTTGGAACTATACTACGAAGTGTTCGAGCGAGCAGACCGGCTTACTATCGTGCTTACGATTAATACTGGAAACATGCGAAATCTATTCCGTCGGTTGAATCCACGACAAACGTGTGTTTTAATGTAGAATTTAATCAAATAATATTTAGTACCATATATATTGATAATCTTATATCGATAGCCCAAATACCACACGAGAGAAGTTAAATTTACTTTCAAAACAGAAAGAGAGAGAGAGACTTGTTATATAAATCATCGCTAAATGTTGGGTGCGCGATAATTTAAATTTTTAAGTCTTAACAGGAGAAGATAAAGCCTCAGTCACGCAATATTTTTCGCAAGTTACAGGGGATATTTAGAGTGTTAATTAGTATGAATATTAATTGCGGATTAGGAAGGTTGGTTGGACGTAGAAAAGACGGTGTACAATACCGCATGTATGTTGAGAGTCTGAAAAAACAGATTTCGGCGTGTGCGTTGTTGGACAATTTTACCCTCCTGATAAGATTAAAAAATTAAAACTATCGTCGCACCTCCGAACATCCAGCGGCAACTCTTACGTCGAATCTCTTTCTGTCTTTTTCTCTTTCACCGATTGTTTACCTTCAGAGCCTTCGATATCTCTCTTTGAAGTCGAGAGAATATACGAGAGAGGCTAAATTTACTTTCAAAATAGAGAAACACGATCGAGTACTTTTAGACGGCCTATGTAAACCTTTATAAACAACATACGGTCGTCCACTTCGTAAACTCGAATGTTTTTGTACGTACACGACAGCGGAATCAAAGAGGCGAGTCTCAGCGATGATTAAATATGTCTACTGTTTGAATTTGCAGCGCCGAAGCTGAAGGGCAGACCGCGAAGAAAGCGCAAAAAGCGCAGCGCTTCGCCGGGCGAGTCGAGCAACGAGAGCGAAGCCTCGGTCGCGTCGACATCGAAGAGCATGTCGGCGAGCACCAGCCTGGTGATACCCATGGTGGGCAGACCGCCCTCGTCTGCGGTGCGCCGAAGCGAGAGGAATACCAGCGCGGAGGAGAAGAAGTTCATCAGCGACGTGCAGACTTTCATGAACTCTCGGGGTACGCCGGTCGGAAAGATGCCACTGCTGGGCTACAGGCAGAGTCAGTATCTCGTCTTTAACTTCTTTCCCTTGGTATCCGCGCGCAGTAACGATCGGAGGAGGACACTCAGAACGTCCTCCCGTTCTGGGTCCGCGAAATCTCGTGCTCGCGAAAAAAACGGTGCCACGGCCCGTCAGACTTGCAGAGAGCTAACACACAGCAGGGTTTCCTTCTCCCGAAATCGCAGTCGCGATCGCATACTACTCTCTTAAGTCCAATCAGTGAAAACGTCACTAATTGAATCAGCGAAACAATATCCTACCGATAATCAATGAGCATTAATTTCTAGCGAAAACTCCTCCACTCAGCTCTTTCATCTAATACTTCACTGACTTTGAAAGCCAATGCCGACTGCCAATGAAAGATTCACTGCAAATCGCAGTTACGCCTGTCCTGTAGCAGAAATATATATTATACATCGTATATATATTCAACTATACGTATTTGTATTTGGCGTAATTTGTATGATAGCATACTCAAGAGCTGGAAATTTCGAGTTTGAGTTCCATCGGGATAAGCGTGTTTTTCAAATACGATATAAATTAAATTAATTAAACATAATGAAAAATATTTCGGGTAAAATCATTGACAATATCTTAAGATTAAAAAAAAGTAAATAATATCTTTTCTCACTGTTTCTGCAGTTAAATTTCTTCGGAAATAGTTGCTATTAATAGACTTTTATGATGAAATTTTATTGATTTGCAGCGTTATACTTATAACTATAATTATTAGTGACTATTGACTGCTTCTCAATGACGATGCACTGATTGCACTTGAGAGAGCACGCGTCCTGCTAGAGCGCGTGTCGTCGTAACGACATCTCTGCTTTCTTCTTGTCCGCAGTCGACCTATTCCTCTTCTACACGAAGGTGCAAATGCTTGGTGGTTACGACTCTGTTAGCGCCGGTCGTCTTTGGAAAACGATCTACGACGATATCGGCGGCAACACAGGCTCGACTAGCGCCGCGACCATAACACGCAGACATTACGAGAGGTGAGAGTATATTTCGCGTGTGGAGTCTTCTCACGATTCTCACTTCTACCTCGAGCGTTCGTATTTCCGCGACATTTGGTTGTGATTTTTTTCCGCATTTCTGCAGCGATTTCGATAAAGATGTTCAGACTGTGCGATAACGAGGTCTATTTGCAGGTTGTTGTTACCCTACGAGAGGTATCAGAGAGGCGAAGACACGAAAGTCAAACTGAACCATGGGCGACGTACCAAAACCACGAGTGTGTCGGAAGATTCCGACATCAAGGAAGAACCTAGCGATCCGTATCCGTCGGAGACACCTCCGCCCGTAGAAGTAATTCCCGCGATCACAACATCACCCCTGCAGTCGATAATGTCAGCAGCGACGGTGAGTAACGTTGAATCGGTTAGGAAATCATGAATTTTTGCCGCCAAACATTTTGCAGCAGCATGTAAGGTTATTATCGCTGACACTATAGCAACACTCGCTAGAGAAATAGTTCTCCTGACTATTTCTGCGGTTAGAAAAATAACGAAGAAGGATATGTCCAGCGTCGAAAATAACAACAATTTTCCACCGACCGCTGTAGAATTTCTCGTGACACGTGTCTTGCGTTTGCAGACTTTGCTCTCCTCGAGCGAGAAACCCAAGACCGAGGCCGGCAAGACGTCCTCCTTGCGTAGCGTGCGAGTGAAGCCGGAACGTCTGAAGTCGCTGAACACCATGATCGCCAATAGCGCGATACCCTCCAGCCAGCAAGCTAGCCAACTGCCAAGTCCACCGCCATCCTCCAACACGTCTATCTCGACGCCTAGCAGCACACCCTCCACGACACCTACGAACGGCGCCGGCAGTCAAAGCGTCTTGGAAAGGCAGCTCAACAGTCCTCTGATATCTCAGCAAGTTCCACCATCGTGTTCGCCACCGGGCCTGCCTGTGACCACCGTAGCGACGAACGCGTCGACGGTCGTGACGTTGACGCCACCGCCGGAGAAGGACATGAAGGAGATCAAGCTGGATCCCAAGCAGACCAACCTGCTGGCGCAGGGCAAGGAGAACATACCGCTGTTCGGCGAGAAGTCCATCTTCGCGGAGAAGACGATGGTAGTGCCGCCGTCCAGGTCGCCCGAGGTAATCGATCTCGAGACGGAGAACGACACGAGCCGGGACAAGATCATCATTCCCAGCTTCAAGAAGCGCAAACTCGAGATTTTACGGGAAGGCGGCCTCGAGGTCACCGCCGTCGACTTGGACGCGCGGCCGAGCGTGATTCAGAGCAACATCGCGCAGCAGCCGCCACCGCCGCCGGCCACGATGAAGTCGTCCGAGGAGAAGCCACCGATCTCGTATCCGTCGCCGATCACACCGAACTCCATTCCCAAGTTGATATCCGTCACGGTGACGCCCGACATTGGCCACATGCTGCCGTCGCCGCAGGAACATCATCACCATCAGCCGCGACTGCCGCCCGCGGCGGCGTCCAAGCAACAACCGGCCCATCACAACAACAACAACAACAGTACGATGAACAACAACATGGTGAACAGCCGGGTGATAAATCTGGGCAGCTCGAACAACGCCGCGCTGTTGCAGCTGTACGCGAACGCAAACGTCCCTCCGCCGTCGAACTTCACGGCCGCGAACAATCGCTTCATACCGCCGAACGTTCCGAACGGCAGGCTGCCGCCACCGAAGGTCACGCAGTCGAGGTCGATATTCGTGCACAACGAGAGGACGGTTTACGGGAATCCGAAGGATATCTTCGTCCCACCCAAGTATCGTTCGTCGCATCAGCAGCACCGCCTGCAACATCTGCAGTCGAGCGGTACGAGCGGCGACATCGGACACGGAGGTGTCCTCGATCTGACGCAGAAGTTCAGCGAAAAGCCGACCTTCCCCAGGCCCAGTTTAGAAATAGTTCGAGTACCTGTAGTGCCGAGGCCTAATCCGTTGAATCTGGAAATGCGGAGCTCACCCGCGGGCAAGCCCGCTGACAAATCCGCCGACTGTCCGAAGCGAGTGCCCTTCCCCGCCTACCAGAACGTCATCGACAGTCGAACCATAGCTTCGAATAACCTCGAGATCACGCTCGTGAATCCCAAGCAGAAGAACAACCATCTGAGCGCGCCGTCTCACGTGCAGATACCGAGCCCACCTAACAAAAGTAGTTCGATGCACAGCAGCAGCGGGGCGCAGAGGAGGCAGCAACAACCGCCGCCGCCGCAAATGAACGGGAAGTACACAGTGAGGAGCGAACCGGTCTCACCGTACACCCCGAGGAAACCGACTCATCCTGTCATACCGAACGTACCTAATCTGAATCACCTGAACAGCGGCAATCCGTTCCCCCGGATGAGCGCGACGATGCAGCAGCAGATGAGCATCGACAGGAGGAAAGCCGCGGCGGAGGTCGGCAGGGAGCAGCAACGCAGGATCAGCGAGGGTGAGAAGAACCTGGTGGCGGCGCAGCAGCAGCAGCAGCAACAGCAAGAGTCCAGGCACAGTGAGGTCGGTCGACGGCACAGCGTACCTAACATACCGTCCGGCTTCGTGCCGGCGGTGCCGCAAACTAATCCCGCCTTTCTGCCGCAACTGCCAAACACGCCCGGCAAGTTCCTACCGATCCTGGACCCCATGTACTACTCCGCGTTCTACAACGCGGGCCTCTTTCCGCCGCCGATGCCGCCCACGGCCGCGACCTCCTTTCTACCGCCGGAGTTCAGCGCGTATTACAAGGAACTACTCGCTTCCACGCAACCAAGACTGGGGATGACGGGGCAGCATCAGCCGGCCGCCCCGACGTCTAAGTAGACAATGGGATCTCATGTAGGGTTTCCGGCACAGCGAAGGACGCTTTCGTCATTAGAGAAAAGAAAAAAGGGCTGATCCGTCGGATTTTCTCGCTACGTCGTAGAAGCAGCGGTGTTTCCGAAGAGCGCAGAGCGAGAGTTCTCTTAGCGATCAACGCCGATGGTGATGGCGCGCGCGGTACGACGGCGATACGCATGAGATTATCCGACCTGACACGACGTTACACCCCGTTCGACCACGCGTCGTTTCTTCACCGGTTGAGTAACGATGGCGACCGAGTTATTCACAGTGTTTGTCCGCGGTGGAAGGGAGATCAATAGTGTGAGGAGTCGCGCGCTAAGATTAAATTACGACGGCCTGGCGGTCTTCGGAAGATGACGCATCTTCCGAATTTACGTCATGTTGTTCGTGTAATTTGACGTGTTACGCGCGCGAGCGAGCGCGTGCGTTCGACGAGTTGCAATAATACGTTAGTCCAGCAGCATGTGCGATGTTTCGTTCATTCTTCGTCGGGGGACGAGATTCCGAATGATTATCGATATTAAGAGAAAAAAAATCCTGTGATAAAAATGCGACCGTGTGTTACCGTTCAAGGAGGTGCAGTAAATGGAATTCTGCCAGGAAAAAGTAAAATCGTTATTCTTGCGTGTTTATTTTATTTAAACCGTTTTTATACGCGCGTTCGTTAAGAGTTTAAGTTTCGATCGGGTCGAGGGAGACAAGGTGTTTCTGATTTTGGAAAATTGCATTTTCGGTGTTGCGCTAGAGATTCGGGCATTCCGTTAGGCTCTTTGGGCTTTCGTTTCTTCTTTTTTTCGCTTAACGCTCCGGATACGTGCCCTCGCATATATATATATATATATATATATCAATCAATTGTCGCAAGGTCGTCGATTTTTATTTTCTGTTTTTATTTCGCAAGGCGCGTTTTGATTCTTACTCGATGTACGATGTGATAAATCCGACGCGGGGAAAGGTAAACGGCGAACGCTGGACCGGCGGATCATCGGAACGTATAATTGTTTACTGTGTAATGGTAAATCTTATGTAGTAACGCTCGCGAGAACCCTATGTACTGTATAAGCTAGAGAATTTTCATTATAATAAAAGAAAAATACAACAATCGTACACACAATCACACACATACACACCGATCTGTAGTCACTTCTAACGATAAGCGCACGCATGCAATGTTATAGCAGCGACCATGTACATAGTGTATATATATACATATAATCACGTAAATCATTAAGTTAGGTAAATCCTGCATTATCTTTCAACATTACGTAATGAGTTAAGTTTAGTAAATGTACAGACTGTCTTGCTCGTGTGGCCAACGATTGTCGTATCGCTGTTTCCTTACGAGAGACGATATTTTGCAGAATATTTCTGACAGTCTCTTTTCGCTCGGAAGACGTTTGTGACAATCTTTCGTTTTCTAACCAACACCGAGAGTTTACGCGAGAGTAAGAAAGAAAGAGAGAATATGCGGTACTACTTTTCCGTTTAATTTTCACGGAAATTTTCACGGAATCGGCTTGATTGTTACGCGATCGCTGCCGAATGTGATCGAACATCGCGGGCCACAATACTTCGGAAACAGGAAAAAAAAATTTACCGACGGTATATATCCATGTTAAATGTAGACATATTGATAGAATTTGTTCGTTTTAGGATACTCTGATCAAAAGAAGAAAAATAATAAATATGAGAGTAACGTTAAAGCATTCGTAACCCTAAGACGTACAAGAGGAAGATCCGTTTCGCGGATCGTCCTGACGAGGAAGGGAAAAAAAAGTAAATCAGATTTCTATATTGATGTCTTTCAAGAGTATGAATTGTTCACGTTTTTTCGGATGGTTCTTTCGTGATAGCGAAGTAGGCGTTTCGGCGCCGATTGCGAGACCGCGGCTGATTGATAACCAGCCTCTCTCCAGTGGTATTCAACGAGTCTAAGACAGAATTATCGATTTGCAGCGTGTGAGCGCCGGCTAACGAGACAATGCGAGACGATGCCACCACTGTTGTTATTTTTGTAAAGATCGCGGCGAAACTTCCGGCGGGTCGAGCGCGTCGCGAATTTCGCTCTTCAAAATGGTGCTATGCGACGAAAAATTCTATTGTAAGTCTCTTTCGTAAAAAGAAAATGAAAAAGAGTTTTAGCGGGCGTTGTTGGGTACCAGTGGATCTTTGGCGCGATCGCCCGAAAGAACTACGATCTTAACATAGATCTTCACGTCCAAGTCTGATAACCGTATATTAAAGAAAAAGTAAGAACGAGAGGAACGAGAAGGACTCCCCGGGTTCTAGCGTGTGTATAAAAAGAAAAAAAAAATGTCGAATACGGGTCCGTTATGGTTGCGATTCATTGTAATATCGCAGGGGTTCGTACAGCGTCGGAGGAAGCGAACGGTGGCGAGAAACGAAAGACGGCGAATGCGGATATTGTCGAATCTCCGGCAAGGAGAAGGGCTTGTACGAGAATACGTGCCATAAAAAAACTGATTAGATAGCGACTACGAAATCGAACAATGGCGACGGTCATTTGTATATGCTTTTGACGAGCCCCTTAACGAGTTTAGAGAGACTAAGAAAAAGGTAGACGCGAATCTAAGAGAAAAATAAAAGAATAATAACACAATGTGCAAAATTCCATGTGGAAATTTTATATGATTTTTCGTTTATTCTGTTACCGCGGTTGTTTTATAAATCTCGAGTCTTTTTTTAGCATGTGTGTGTATGAGAGAGAGAGAGAGAATGCGTGAACGGGACAAACGAGTTCGACGAATAGGAATGGAATCGAGTGCGCTCTAAATAGTATTGTACCGCAGCGTGTTCGGATCTTTTATAAGTACTTTGGAACAGGCGTCTCTGTACGTAATCGGAACTTTTTACTGAAATCGCGAACTGTGTGTAAACATTTCAAGTTGTTTGTGTTTGGAGATACAGAACGATGGAATATATTTCAAAAGATTTCGATTATTCATTTCACGTAAGACAGAAACGTTCTTTTCGACGACACTTTCTGCTGCTATTACGCATCTCGAAGTAAACTCGTAGAAGATTCAAGCACGTTTCCAGGTGGTAGTCGAGACCGTTTGATGTGTAGTTGATCTCACACTTTGTCACATTTAACTTCTTTGTAAGTAGACGAAATATGTCCGCGAGTTTTGTAAATGCTACTCGGCTTGGATGACATAATACCTAAGTGTATCAAGTTGACTGAGATTTATTGAGTACACGTCGGACTTGATCCCATCCCTATCGATGAATGAATGAGCCGCGAGAGAGAATCTTAAAGAGAGAAAGAATGTTTTCAAGCAAAAGTCTACGATTGTTTTTGCGAGTTTTCTCTTCATTTTGTATACTTAGCAGAGCGATTTTAGCGTAACCCTCGTTTTCCCACTTTAATAATAATAATTATTACAATATATAAATATTTTTTATTATATGGGCATTTCAGTTCCTAAGTTGGAAAAAATAAAATATCTACTATACACGGGTTTTCTTTATTGTGCGAATACACGCGTACCAAGTGAGTGATATATTATGCATGCGGTTATAAAAATATATTTTCCTCCGAGGATTTTCGTAGTGCGCTGAGAAATGTGCTTGCAGATCATACGGAAAAATTTACGGGCCTTTTTATCTACAGACGGTATGTATTCATAATTTCTTAAAAATTGTTCAATTTCTTGATGTCTCACATAGTAAAAGTATTAAGAATATATATCTTTCGGAGATATTTTGAAGACATATAACGTAAGAAAGATATATCGTTTGTCTCTAAAATGTCTTTGGGCGTTAATGCTGCGTGGGATGTACACTCGCAATTTTGGACGAGAGGTGATAAATAGTGTATGTCGCATTTCGCTTTCATCAGCAACTTTTATCATGAAGGAATAATGATCTTCCTTGCTGACTGGTTTCGATCGATTATTCGATCGGTCTCAATTCGTACTCATATTCGTACTCATAGCTAGCGCGTTAGAATCGGGATTTGTCTCTTGGGTTATGCTAGGCGCGCGACAGAACATCGACGTTGCGTTGTCGCCCAAAACGAAAATCACGGAGACGGTCCGAACAGAGATTAAAATACTTGCGTGAATTTTTACTCACCGATAAAGTACGCGCTCGTCGTGGTTGCATCGTAGATACATACGCCGGCTCGCCGGGACGGAGAAACCGCTTGCTCGCCCCGTCCATTGGTCCGATCGTCGACGTCGGTATTGGCGCGCGGCACTATGAACTCGGTGAAACGACCGAAAAGCGAGAAAAAGGACAACGCGGAATGCACGGGCATGTGCCGCGAAATTTAAAATCTCTTTACGGCGGCTATAAACTGATAACCTGTTTAACCAGTCCTGCGACGCCGGTCATCTTACCATCGCGAAATCGTTCCTATTCCGTTTTTTCCGCCATTTTCCCGCTCTTGCTCCTTTTGTTCCTTTTCCCGCGCTCGCGAGCAAGTCGATCTCTCTCTCTCTCTCTCTCTCTCTCTTTGTTTTCCGAGTCGACGGATAAACTACGCGCGTACGCAGAGACGAGCGAATCCGTTCTCAACTTTGACGCTCGAGATATTTCGGTTGAATTATTCGAATGATTTCCGGAAAAGTCAGCTCGTGTCTCTCGAGCATGTAACCAAACGGATGGAGGTTAACTTCTGGTGCGATATAGCGACGCGATTGTTGAATCACGTATTGTGAGGAACGGAAGTTGTTAGGAGGAACTAACTGATGTTGTCACAAGGAATGAACGAACGAAGGAATGAGCGAGGTGCGTTACTCTTTTTTGAATGATAATTATTCTAAAAAATATAGGTCAAGTACACATACATATATACATATATATATATATATATAACTTCTAAATATAGCAGGATTAATATTATTATGAAACAGTTTAAACACAAACCCAAGCAGTGCAGATTGGTTGGTTAACCGTTGCTCAATGTTTGGCCAACATTGGGAAACGGTTAATCAAACATTTGTGCTGCTCGGCAATCTACTCATTGTTTTAAGGGGATTTCAGATTTATACGTTGTTTCTTCCCCTGAGTAAATAATTCTGTGAAAATATTCTTCGTATAAAATCATATAAAATTATAGTTCAGTCATTTGTTCGAATCAGTATATCGGCGGCCATTGGGATCGGAGGAACAATGGACGTGGACGGGAATGAATCGGTGTCGACGGTTCGACAATCGCGTTCTTCTGCGTCGTAAACGTCGCGGCGCATGTCAGCTCGTCAAGAAGGGCATCGTCGAGTGGCGGCGTGAAGACGGTCTTCGTTCGTCCTGCATCACCCCCTCCCCAGTGTGGACGGTCTCTCGCATCTGAATCGCTGGTAAAGAGGTTAGGTTAGGAGGTTTGAACCGTACGTTCGCGCGCGACTCGGATATCCCCGTCTCTTTACCTTCTCTCTCTCATAGATTATTCCTTCCTTTTATCTGTCGCTGCCTCGCATGAGTCAGCCGAGTCACACGCGTATATGCACGTGGCTTTAGGGCCGCTCGATTTTACGAGCACTCCGAGATAGAGGATACCTGCCGCGACCCGGTAACGTCGCGGAGTTGCGACGGAGAGAGCGTTATGTGCCATGCATGCGAGTGCATATGCATGCACAGGTGCATCCGCGGACATATCGTCGTCACCGATGACATATAGCGCGAGTACTCACTTACTAAGATCGTTACGTCACTCCGTAACTCGCTCGATCTTTTGGAAATTGTTTGTTACAGACACAAGCCGGACGTCGAACGGATGCGTGTAGCTGAACACAATGATATATGACGGATTTATTATTTTGAATTCTGTCACAGCCTGTACATTCGAGATAGTTCCGTGGATACCATTGTGTATAAACACAGAACGCGTAACGGTTTTGTTATCGATTTCGCGGGAAGAAGGGAACACGTATTAGTGACCTGAGGATATCCGAAATGATCGTATCAGTCGAGCAGGCAAGTATTTTAGCAGTGGTTGTTCTTAAAGAATACAAGACGATTAGTAGGGCTAAGGGACATAAATCTTGTTTGATTCGTAGACGCTGCACGAAAAGGCGACACACCATGGACTGTTGCATAGTTGTTCAGCACAGACCGCAGCATCGAATAACGAAGATGTCAGGTGAGATCGCGATATCTAGTTGACATGTATGTAGACCGAGCGTTCGCCGAGTGAAGGCGGAAGTTGGTGGTTTAAGACAACAGTTCGTTTGCTTCCTCCCTTGCTCTACGTCGCAGCGATGAAGTTCCCGTTGTCGTAACTCAACGCTATGTACAAACGACACAGAACACTGAGAGGGCGCAATCACAGGGATTCGCCTCGTTTCGACTTACTTCTAATATCTGTGACATTTGGCGTTTCTTCGCGAGTACCAGCGTTGGTTGGTTAAACTTGTAAGTAAATTTACAAGACATCGTATGAGCGCGATCGTGCGGTACAGTCGCTCGATGAATGTTCTCGCACCGCGCGAATCGACGCGCACAAATCTGAAACTAGATCTCAGAACTGAATCTAGCTTCCCCGGCCTCACCTGTCACAACAATCAAAGTAGCATGCGAACGTTCAGCCGCAATTGTACACGTCGTTGCTCGCCGCGCGTACGAACGCGCTCGCACGATGATCAAGGTGGTGGGGCAAAATTGTGTTTACCTCTCTATCCCCCCGGTGACAATCGGCAAACACGTGGCCGTTGTAGCATTGTCGCGCATCGCCGCATGCCAAACCGCCCCTATGTACACTGCGGGATCGCAGTAGACCCGCATTCGCCCACGGGAATCCGCTGGAGCCGCGTGTCTCGTCCTCTTTGTCGCGTGCGGTTACAGAGCGGTCGTCGTGGTCCTTTCGTCGCCGTCGAGGCGACGGCGAGTCTCGAGCGAGAAACACTTTAATTTCTTCGTCGATACGTCGATCGAAGTTGCGCACGTGAACGAACGGACGAGCCCGGTCGACCGACCGCTCGGTGATGCTGCTCGGAAAAGCCATTTGCGTAGCAGCGATCGGCGACCGCTCCGCAACGCCGTGGGCTCGTCGAATTACGCGACCTGAATCTCTTTTTTATCGCTGTTAAGGAGAATTCTCGACGGGGTGCGTTATGGGAGGGCGCGTTCTTGCGGCGGCACCGGGGATACATGCGCGACTGCGTCGCGAGTTCTTGCTGCTCGCCTGCGTTCCGTTAGATATATCCCGGGTAAGCGAGTACAATTAATAGCGTTTGATCGCCCGGGATGGGTAAAAACGACTCGGCGAAGCTGAATCCGGGGGCACAGCTGAGGAACGTAAAGGGACGGGCAAAAATGTATGCGAGTATGTAAAAGTAAATAGTTGCATCTCTGATGCAAATGCTGAAAGCCACGGTAATCTTCGGGCTCTAAGCACGGTACTAAAACTGGGAAGGTGGCGCGTCGTGGTGTGGTACAAGTTTAATTCAAAGAAATACTACCACTCAAGAAGCGCGGTTAAGTGGCGGGTTAGGTATTATAAAAGAATATCCCACGGTTTTCTCCTATGTCGCATGACCTCGATCGCCACCGTCGTGCAATCTTTGTGTCTTGAATCTTATATTCGGACATTTGTCGTCGAGATTTGTATTAAAATCCGTATCGACCGTGTCGCAAATACGCTTAAATACATTGCTAACCGCGCGAGTTGCGCATGCCAAATTTCGAAAAGCATTACGTAAACAGTATTGAAAGAAAAAAGTGCTACGTTTAAGTAAATATTTGTTAACGCATAATATCAAGTTATTTTATTTTATAACTCTGATTAGTGAAAGTTGTGTTCTAAAAGAATCAATATTTAACAATTAACATTTTGATTATTAACACAGAACCACAGCAAATCTTGAACATTTTTTCATCAAATGTAATCAAATGTATCACGAATGCAAGCAAAGTGGATAACCAACAAAGTGAGCATTCATATTTATAAGTTATGCCATCTAATGTGACGTTTCATGGCCTTTATTCCTTCCCTCTCTGCTATCACAGATTGTCACGCAATCTGATAGACCTTCCCTCTTGTGGTGTGACGTAATTGTTGAGTGGCCTCTAATAATGTTTCTCCATACGAAATCATCAAAAGTTTCACGGAAAAAAAAAACAGAATTAGCTCCTACAGCTAAAAACTAGCTGTTCATATAATACAACTAAAATGTAGTTACCAGACCTGATTTTTAGCTGTAGGAGCTAATTTTTATAACTACAGCCATACACAGCTATGACTATAGTCGTACACGGAAAACAAATATTAGTTACCATAGCTAAAAACTAGATCCAGTAATTGAATTTCAGTTGCATTATATAGACAGCTAGTTTTTAGCTGTTTGAACTAATTCTTTTTTTCCGTGTTAAGTTGATCGGTCGATCAAGGATCATTGAGAAAAAGGTAGATCCGTCCGATCGGTTGACAATGTGTTAATATATTCACTATATGCGACACGCGTCGGAATGAACTCGTTTTCGCCGGGAAAGACAGTGGCCGTTCGATCGTCGT